ATATATATATATATATATATATTTTATTATATGAAAAATTATTTCATACGAGTTGGACCGCATTTCTACATATACGGTCCAAAAAATGTAAAGCATCCATCTTAGAGATAGATGCAAGTAGGTGTTCTATCTAAAAATAATGGAAACTAACCGTCCAAATGTTTTCTTACTAGAATTATTATTTCTAGTTTTTAAAATTTGTTTATTTCTTCTTATTTGTGATCTCTATGTTAGAGATTACATGTCCTTAAAAATTAAGTCTTAAAATCCATCTCAAAATTAGATTTATTAAGAGGCCCGCATTTTTACATATGTGGGCTTGGCAGCAAACCGAGTCTATGTTATATTTATCTTGTTATTGCATCTGCCATATGCTAGTGGGCAATAGCTTTTGAAACCATTTCTTTTTTAATAGTCCAGCGGGGAAGAGCCCCTATTGTGATATGAATGAAACTCAAGATGTTATGCAATGTCAGTTAACATGCGATACAAAGACCATTGCGAATGCAAATTGTTATTGACAAGGTTTTTTCCACGGCTTCAACGATGAAAAATGAAAAAAAATGTGGTTTTCCCATCACGGTCCACTCCCCATGAGACATGACAATTTGAAAAAAATATCCACATAAGCTATAAAGAATGATGGCACCAACCTAGACTGGCCTCTTTGTTGTAAGAATAGTATTGAAAGACTTATTAACCCACTAAGTAGAGATTACGGTGGATTTCAAAAGAGAGTACTCCTAGAGATGTAATAGAGAGAGAGAATGTGTGTGTGGGGTTGTCAATGAGAGAGTTCGAAAGGGCATAGAAAAGAAGAAGTTACTCTGGCTTCATCCATTAAATTTAGTAGTTTACTAGAAGGAACAAGTTTATATAAGGTTGCAACCTTATACTATTAATGTAACGTGCACCTCAAAATTTCTTTAGAAGAAAGTGTTGTGTCATCGGAGAACTTTCTATTTGATCATCTAGACGATATCAAGGGGAACAAAAAAAAAACATCAAATCCTAAAAAAAGTGTATTTTTATAACAAGTTATTTGAACCGTCTTTTATAGATATGCATAATCTGTACTATTTTTTAAATTTTAAATCATATAACTTTGAATTAAAATAGATTTTAAAGCTACATCTTCAAACAAACGTTAGAGGTATGCCTTTACATCTAGGAGGTTGCCTTATAAAAATCTCACCCATACTTAAAAGACAGGCCCTTTTAAAAGATAGGCTTGGAAACATATGATATCTCCTACTCTCTTGAATCTGATGAAGCCCACAACCAACTGGTTGATGAGGTCCTTGGCCCCCATGGACACATTACACGGTCCACCGCTCATGTTGACAAGAACATGTGAAGATTGCTGCAAAAGTCTTCGAAAAACATAGATTTCTTTGAAAAATTTGACCGTTTTAGGTTAAGAGGTGTGGGAATATCTTGAATCCCAAAAAAGCATGTAGGGAGTGAATTGTAGGTTTGAGAAATATTATTGTTAGTGTGAAAATCTTAACCTTTAGGGAATCATTATTTTACACTATTTGACTTATTAAAAAGTAGGATGGTGATGGGTTGTATTTCTCTTTTAAGTAGGAAGATAGAGATGACTCCCACATGACTCTTTTTTTTAGTCCTTTTTCTTTTTCTTGCTAATGTGGAAAGAGAGAGAACGTTAAAAACGGTATAAAGAGACTTTGGGTGCAGAGACAAGCCAGTTAAGAAGTTGAACTTGTGTTATTTGGTTTTCTCGGGTAACAATTATCTTGTAATTTTTTTTTTATTGTATAATAAAAGGATTGTCGACTATTTTTACCCATAGATGTAGTCACAATTGTGACAAACTACATACAATCTTTGTTGTCTATCGTTTTTACTTGTTTTTTGTTTTTTTACTTGTGCTTGTTGTTTACTTATGACTATTTCATTTTTCTCGCTCTTTACCTACAAAAAATAAATTCATCGGGATTGAGAGCTTCCGCTCAAAACAAGTGCTATCAAAACAAAGTTTATTGTTGCCATCAAGGTTTCAAATATGAAGTTCGAGGTAGAGAAGTTTGATAGCAAAAACAACACTGAATTCTGATATGTCAATATTCAATACTTACAACGCAATAAGGCTCGCAAGAAGCATTGAAAGGAAAGTTAAAGAAACCAGAGTTCATATCAAATGAGAATTGAGAAGATTTAGGTTTGAGTATACAACATCTTCAATGAGGATTCGACAACAAACTTATTGATGCAAATCAAGAATGAGTCGATTAGAAATTTATTTTTATTTTTATTATTTCTATTTTTAGAAGTTATGGGTGTATTTTATTCTTATTTTGTTAGGGTCCAATTGTTAGTAATAGGTTAGTTTGATAAAGCTCTTTTTTTATGAGTCCGTTTGAAAATTTAAATACGGTGACTTTGTTTTGGAAGGATAAATGATTTCTTTTTTTTATAAGGCCACCTTCTTTCTGCAAGAGTGAGCCTTACCATC